CTTTTAGTAACTAGAGAAGATTCTTCTGTACGTCAAAAATTCTTCGATGTTTTTGGAATCGAATTCCATACAATTTATGGGAATTCTCGCGAATGATATATTCCAAGAATCGTGAATATTCGGGGATATCTTGAGAATCAAGCCTACCGATCTTCCGATACCTAATATTGCGCTTCTATAGATACTGTTGGTATCGCGTGCGTTAGCAAACGCCATTATTCAAGTTCCCAAACCCTTCTCGCGGTAACTTACGATCCCTTTGCTTTTCGAACTACCATTATTTTTCATAGCTCTTTCTAGTTAGCTGATTTTTAAGAACCGATAAAATATATTAAAATAAATAAATAGTAATAGTATATTTTTTGGCAATTTACAAGATTGATGCTTATATTTGATATTAAAAAATAAGAAAGTGATCGGATACGTTTATTGTATTATTGCACGTCAACGTAATATGATTCAAATTATATCACTTAAATTGCATGATCATTACAATTATAATATTATAAGCAAGATTTTACGCTTGACACGAAAAATGTGAGAAAATTTTGCAATAAATACGAAATAGAGAGAAAGAGAAAGAGAGAGAGATAACATGTTACAGGGACAAGTCGTAAAGGCATACGATTTACATAATAATAATTGTATGTCGTAACATCAATTTCCGCATTACTGTCGGTTGAATGTAAAGTAAAAATTATAATGCGGTCGATATAAAAAGAGTATCGGATGGTTGGATGAAGGTCTTTTAACTTCATAATTTCGATGGGGATTGTAAGCTCTCTCTCTCTCTCTCTCTCTCTATCTCTTTCTTTTTTTTCTCCATCTCCATCTTTCTCAGACTCCCGCATGTTAACTCGACCAAGACACAAATTATAGGCTTCGCGAGCCCATTACAACCCTGCGGCAACCACCGTCGTCTCATCGCCTCGTTCACCTTACCCTTCTCCTTCCTATTCTTAACCCTTTAGAGGAAGATATTCTGCTTGCGTTGGAACGCACTGGCGAATTGCCGCTTTATTCTCTCGTTTAAGCTTTCATGTGATCGTATCCAATTTATATTAGAATATTAAACAAAAAGAAAGAGAGAATGAAAGAGAGAGGAAAATTTGTGAGATGGAACCAACAAATTGTGTCGTTTCAATCGATTACCTTCCAAGATTTTTTTCCTTTCTAAACGCATGATTTAAAAAAAACAGTTTCTTAATGTAATTTTACGAAGTATTGCAAATCTGAATTTGATCGTGCGTTTGAAATCAAATTTTTTGTAATGTTTAATCATAATGAAAGGCATCATAGTAATATAGAACTGGAAAGTATTATGATTGATATCATTATGATGATGATAATGATGATGGTGATGATTATTATTATTATTATTGTTATTATTATTATTATGAAGAGTCTAAAGGACTTAACCCGAGTGCACTTATAGGAGCACCAACTTATCAAGAAGGTAATTCCAATAATTTTCCTATGATCTCTTAGAAGGCGTTTAATCGAAAAAACGTTGAGAAAATAAAGAAAAGAAAAGGAAAGTGCGAGAATGGTACTGTAAGGAGGTGTGCTAAACTGGCCGATATTCCGAGTTATTAGAGTATTATTAACCGAGAAATCAAGTGGATGATGCTGTGTAACCACCGATTTACTTGATGATCATGAAGATTAATCCCAACTCATCGTTAGATTTTTTTTCATATGTCATTCTTCTATAAACGTGCATGCGCGTGCGCATATGCGTCTTATTTATTTCCCTGTCATCTTTTTCTTCGTTTTCTTCTCGTAGCTTATGTTGCTGCTGTTGTCGTTGCTTTTGCTGTTGCTTTTGCTGTTACTTTTGCTGTTTCTGTCATCCTCGTATCTTCTAACATTATTTTTTTTTATTTTTTTTCCCCCTTTTAGAATCTTTCCTCCAGCCATCTCACTTCTTTTCTCTCTTTTTTTTTCTTTTTTGCTTTTTCTCGCTTCTTCTCATTCTCTCAGGGTCGCTTCTTCCGCGTTCCACCAACCTGCCAATCCTGTGCTTTCCTCGAATACGTCCGGCCATAATGGGCCACCAAGGAGAGATTCTGCGTTCCTGCATCGTCTTCGGCCTTTCGAATCAAGCTTCGACGTGTTATTTCGCTATGCGATAACAGAGAGAAACGTGCCTCCACGGATAATAAACAAGAATCTTCTTTAGGCCAATCAAATCATTTCTACTTGATCATTTCGATCTTCTCAATTTCTTTTTATTTTATTTTATTTTTTTTATATTTTTTTATATAACTACGTGTGCGTTAATTATTTAAATAGAATCAAATCTCTTGAAGAAGTTTGAAGATTATTTCTAAACGATCTTACGTGTTTGAGAATCAACCATCGTCATTTTCGATGTTGCGAAAATAATCAAAGTGTCTCAAGTAACCATCCGTTAGAAATTCTTGCAATTAGTATTATACTTATGGTACGATCGTTAGTTAAAATTAAGCAGAGTCGAATAATACAAATACGAAAGTGAAATTCTATGCAAGAAGTGTGTAAAAGAAAGAATACAAAAATCAAGAAAAATAACAAAAAAAAGAGCAAGAGGGTTGGTATAGAAGTCAATGCAACGCTTCTTCGAAAGGATAATTACAATTAAACGGTCAAATACGATTATGGTAATTATAAGAGTAAATAGGTGGAGTGTCTCTAATTGGGTCTTACCAGGTTTTTCGTAGAACCAATTCACCCTTTTTCAAGGAAACAACGAAATCTTTCTTTCCTTTTTTCTTTCTTTCTTCATTCTCATTTTATTTTTCTTTCTTTTTTAGTTTGTTATGTTTTTCTTATTTTTATTTTGCTTTGTTTTTTTATAAAGCAACGTTTATCGTCTCGTCCTTCTTCAACAAAAGCGCTCTGATAGCTCGTAGTACTCTAACTGACGACCATGCGAAACATTCGCCTGCTATGTGATGGAAGGAGGAATAATTTTCCAACGAGGGAGACGCCTGGCTGGCGTATTAATTCATGGACATCGCGTGACGGACGTCCCCAGATCTCCCTTTCCCTTCTCTCTCTCCCTTACTCTTTTTCTCTCTCTCTTTCCCTCTCTTCAGGATGGACGTTGTCCGATGCAAAACGTTTACTCTTTCGCCAACCTCTAACCAACCCGCGAGCCCACCCTTCATCGGATTTTTTTTTCCCCGCAACAACGACGTCACTGCATAAACGAATATTTAATTATTCCCGTATAAATTCATCTCGGTATTTCTTTACCTTACTTCTTCGTCGTTTTACAATATTATTTATTAACGTAAGTTGTAGTTAATATTTTTAAAGATATATGTATATATCTTTAATAAATCTTATATATATGAATGTATGTAAGCTTTTTCATTTATTTAAAAGTATAGAATCGTTTAATCTCATTTGAATATTAATAACTAATTTTCTCATATTTTATAATCTCGCCTGTTATGCAATTGAATATTATTTCTTTTTGATTATTTTTTTGTTTTTCTTTTTTTTTTAACGCTATATTAGATATTTCCCAGTTTACGGATCACGTAAACACGTAAAGGTACACGATATATTATATATTGGGTTGTACATCGAGTTAAGAAAATAGTGATGAAGAGTATAGTAATTATGAAAGCATATCTCCGTACGCGGTGAGTAATTAAGAGGGAAAGATGATTTATCATCCATATGAACGCATAACGTTGAGCTGTTTTACCCTGGTAGAATATTATAAGGAAGAAATAAGCATAGAACCATACCTTTCTTCTCGAGATACGAAAGTTTCATGTTCATTTTACATCTAACAACGTTCTTGATAACATAGATGAATAACACTAAGCAACAGCAAAAGCGATTTAACCTTTGTAATAGACTCTTTAATGATCAAAAAACGTTTATTAAAAATACTTATTATTATTATTATTATTATTATTATTATTATTATTATTATTATTATTATTATTATTATATTCATCGTTCAACAGTGATGACTTCGTATTAAATCGTATAACGAATCCATTCAATTTTATAGGCTTCTTCAAAGTTTTCAGATTATAATCCGACTCGATTTCAAAGTCATTTTAAATTTGATTGTTAAAATGGCTCATTGGCAAACTCATCGCCTCGATTCTATCTGTGTCGGTTAAAAAATTGAATTTTTGTTTATTTTCTTTAATACGAGGACCATATTTATAGTCTGGCTAGTGGTTTAAAGTTTCTCTTCGTCTCTCTCATTCTATCGTCGTTCTTTACTTCAATCGTTTCTTCGAGTAGCGTCGGTCAGGGTCGTGCTCAGAACTCCTCCTTGTTCTTCTTTTTTTGGACTTTACGACGTGGCAGTCGTGATGGATCGTTCCTTAAGACGACATAACTCTTTGTCCTCTTTTTCTCTCCTTTTAGATTTCTATCTCTCCTTCCCGTTTTCCTACCTTACCAATCTACAAAGATAATGTCGGGGAGTCTTCGAACTCACAAGATATTCTTCACCCCCTATAAGGTACCTCCCTCTAATTGCTTATCTGAACAAAACAACGACGTACGTGCAACAATGGGTGCCCATAAATCGAGTAAACGACGTGTGAAATCGATCGGTTGATCGATAAAATCGAATGAGAAAACTAAAAACTTTAACATAATAAGAAAATATGAAATTGCATTAAACGTTTATTTTGTGTAACTATTGTTAACCCTTAATGGTCGTAAGTCACGTGGAAAGTGACTTACAAATAAAAATATGTTATTAATAATTAAATAATTAATAATTTCTCATATATTTCTAGTACTCCTTCAAAACACATAGGTAATTTCTAATAAATAATAAGTTAATTAGTATAATACTGAACAATTTTTTGTTGCGTGTTTACCGAAACCGCTTATAATTTATTATTAGTGAGAATTGTCAATATAAAAACCTGACGACCGATAACGGTTATTAATTTTAAAATGAATAAAGAAAAAATTTGTAATCAACAACCTATTACAATAAATACTGATTATTTTTTGTTTGTTTGTTTCAGATTACATCTTTTGAGCGGTAGTCTCTTGATCATTTTCACTGGCATTCTTGTGATCGGCGCCGAGGATTCTCCAACGTCCTTTGAGACTGTCCATAACAGTAACGCAGCTATCTTGAATCGTCTCGGCTTGGCACCCCTTCAAATCCCCGATGGACATCACAAGAAACGTTTAGCCGGTCCCGAACCGCCTGGATTGAATTCCCAGACACGAATTCATCAGGGTTACAGTCGTCGACACGGCCATAGGGACAGTCATATTTACATCGTCAAATTACCAGCCAGTCCGCCGTACTACACGATTACAAAACCTCACAAAACGTCTAAGGACGAGAAGATAATCAAAACGGGACCAAATCTTCCAGTTGGTTTTCACGGTAATGGCAAACCGGCGAAGATCTATCATTGGAACTTACCGCTGGTTAAAAAGATCACGGAGAAGAAGAGACTACAAGCGCAAATAAGAATGGATCTTGCTAGAAAGAAACTCGAGGATAGCAAAAAGCATCAGCAATCCGAATTGATTTCCATCGATAGAGCCAATTCCGTGATAGACAATTCTCATCGTCAAGAAACGGAAAAAAAGAAGATTATACCCCATAAGGTTTCAGCATCGAAGCATATAAGAAACAATGATAAGAGATTAAATTATCCCGACGTAATCGATAAAAAATCAGATTCGACCAAAATGACTATGAATAGTCTTGCGACTAAGACATATAGGCTCGACGATTCCAATATGCATAGAATTCATCTGAGTAATGAATTTCACGGCTCGAGGAACAACTTGTTGAAGGTGAAGAAACACCGAAAAAAGGCAGCAATGTCTTATTACGCGCCAATCGCAAGCAAAACTGGCTCTACCAGCATTCACAAGAATTTCTCAGGAAATGGAAAGCCTAAAGCGTTTTATGTAATGGAGAAAAGTCGTAAACCCGTCTATTATCATCCTCTGCTTCCTTAATCTCCAAAATTGTTCTTCGCAAAATCGTGCACAATCCAAGAACGACTTGAGGTGTCTGTGTTAACTATAGTAGATTAATCTTCGCAACTTTGATACTTTGGTTAAACAGAATCACGAATGGTCGTTCGTTGAAAGAAAATAATGAAGAACGAGGGAGAGAGAGAGACTTAGACTATGACCTCCGTATCGATGTCTGGTCAATCATTATTCAAGGTCATGCGTATCCTACAAACCGTTCCATTTTTATCGCAGTTAATGTTAGAACAGATTAGGCTTAGGTCGGAGACGATTCTCTCTTCGGCGGGTGGAACTTACGTTTAAGATAAAATTAGGTTTAACTCGTACATACCTACGTGCATAACACAGAAACAACTGCATCCGTTTGAGTTTCGAAATCGATCAATTATTGCTTACATTCATTTTATTTTACAAATATTATTTTACATATTACTTACATTATTACTCTTTCTTATAATACTACACAATTCTTTGATCGAACTAAGAATAAGATAGATATTTAAATCTAATATTTAAATCATTTAAATGAAAGATAAATTATAAAAACAAAAAAGGGGTTGTTTTGATCTTATCAATAAAAGAGAATCGATCGATTTTGAAACTAATCAGACGCACTTATCAAATCCCGTAAGAGATCTTATTTCGACATTGATTCATGTTTTCAAAGTTCTCTCGTCGGAGTAAGATCGATACGTGGGTGTTTCTTATTTTCAGTAAGAACATGTCAAAGCTCACTTCTCGTTACTAGATTTTAACGCTGTATAATTATATTTTTCTAAGTATAACGAATACTTTTTTATATCCTCGCTCACCGGTGAGCGATCTCTTCTTGATTTGAAAAAAAAAAGAAAAAAAAAACAAATATCCAATCACGAGAAGAAATCGCACGTACGGATGATGCCTCGATTAAAGACTGGATAATATATTTCTTCGATGAAACGTATGCACATCTTTTTCTACGTCTGATCGCGCAACGATCTTTCATTATTACTGGTTTTGCTATCAAATTGCAAGAAGAAGAGAGCGACACAAGAGATCGCATTTTTTTATATTCTTATATAGGAACATACAAAGATAAGAGAAATTGATCCCACACACACACACACACACACACACACACAAAACGAATACATATATATGTAGAGTACATACATACATATACATATATATACTAATATATGTATACATGCCGTAGAGAAGCATACTTAACACAAACGAGCCATGTCGTGAAAAAGAAATATAATAACGTATAATATAATATTATACTATTAAATTGTTTAATCATTTTTTTATTTCCTTCGCAAAAGAAGTTAAGAAAATATTATACGTATCTAAATACCTGTCTATGTATTATCGAGATAAAACATGATGTATACAAGTGATGATTGGCTCGTTCCCCGTTATATACCGCGTTGATGGGTGCAATCCGTTATTTTGCGTTAAGTTTTATTTCTATAACCCTATAATAGTATTAGTGGACATTATTATTTTCGACTGGTTACTTATTAATAGGCATATACCTATTTTTCTATTCTACGTATGTACTTTTAATTTTTCATCGATTAGTCGATCCACAAATACATATTACGTTTATGAAAATATGTATTCGATTTCTTTGTTATCATCATTTTGATAACAATTATTATTATTACAATTAATTTTCAAATATTTTACATGCTGTAAGTAAGAAATGATAAGTACATATAATGGTTATGTAATAATTTACATACTTATGTACACGAACAATACACACAGATACACCGTTAATATTAAAGAAACAATATCGTATTATGAAAACTGTATGACGATGATCGTCCCCTATATTCAAAACGAAAGCAAAACTTTTTTGGCTATGCGTCATAATTAAAGAAAATTGTAGAAATCTTACGACTAATTGTGTTATATTATTATATTATAGTATATTGTATATATTTAGATACTTTTTCGTTCTCTTAACTAAATGAGAGCCACTGTTAGCAACCCGTTATAGCATACTTACGATAATATCAGAAAGCAGTATCGCGCTAAGAACGACGAAAGAAAGACTCCAGCCGGGCCCCTTTCTCTCCCCTCTCCTCCCACCATCCCTGGGCGCATATTTTTCGGTAATTGACCGTATAAATTCAAATTCCCTGGTGGAACAAGTTTTTCTTCGGTATTAACGCGGCAAGAAAATTTCTACTCGAGCTTGATTACCGAGAAAGAAAGAGAAGTAAACAAAAAAAGAAAAAGAAACGAAATAAATAAAAAAGAAAAACGCAAGGAAAGGGTAAGAAAAAGAGCGGTCCCTTTTATGGCCATTTGCCGAATTTCAAAGGGAAGTTCTTTTATCTGTGTTGACCAATCGGCAAATTTTTAATTAGAAACACGTGTTTTGTTTCTTCACCGACTTACAAGATTACTTCAATGATTATAATCTTTCATTTATTTTATTCGCCTATCATCATTTCCAAATTGATTTAAAATTCGTTTTTATTCTTAATTATGCATTTATCAATAATATCATTGGGTTAATGAACATACGAGAGGGAGAAAGAATTATGGAAAAAGTGTGAATAATCTTATTAGTTTCTAAATGATAACCATATTCTTCATTTAATCATAATTGGCAAAAGAAATAGGAAGAAAAGAAAAAATAATAAACAAACAAATTGTCTTACTTGAAGACAATTGAAAACTAATAATCTTAGTTCGGAATCCTCTTAACCATATAATCTGGTCTAGGAGGTATGTGTAATGGTGATGAGTAAACGGGCCGTATCCTAGGCCCCCTAGTCCCAAGTCAATATTTGCACTACGTTCAGGGAGAGTGGATGAAACATGTGCAGCAAGATTGTTTATTTTCCTGTCTCGTTCTTTCTTTTTCTTTTTCTTTTTTCAGACGCTAACGAGCAAGCAAGAAGAGAAGAATATAGTCAAATGGAATTTCAGGAAAAACGAATAAGAAAAGGGTTGGGGAGAAGGGAAGAGAGCGAGTGTGCGTTTTTTTTTATATTACTAATATATATTTCTTTTTCTTTTTTGTCTTTTTTTCTTTTTATTTACAGCAACAGTTACAACAAGTGGTAGGACGTTCAAAAATGGCTACAACAACGTCGGCCCTCTTAATATATTCTACATAATCACGAGACGACAAATTATATTTATAATATATACTAGATTAAAAAAAAAAGGAATAGCATGATCGTTAAATAAATAATTAAACGTCGACAGCTAAAATATATAAAATAGTCATTCATTTTAATGATCACGAGGTCAATATCCTAAATTAATAATTATATTATAAAATTATAATTTAGTAGTTTATAAAGGTTTTTAAGAATTACACATTTGGACTATACGCGCTATAATAGTACTTAGCTATCATTTTTTCGTAGGAAAAAAAACAAACAAATACATACTTATAAATCTACATTCATACAACATACCACATATATGCATATACATAACTACGACTCATTAGGAATAGATAATATAATAGTGTTATATTTCTCGTATACAAATTGTCCACTAGGTAGTGTTGTTCATCGTCAAAGAAAACATATAGGTTTAATATTATGAAGACAAGGAAATAAAAGTGAATGATATTCACGTGAGAACTCATTAATTGATCATTCTTACATACAACTACATAATAAGCCACCTTTAAAAGGACTGCTTTAATTACATTACCGTTACTTTCTACTGGCACCTCGTTTACTATACACACCGAACCGCATAGTCCATTTGAAAGCGGAGTAATGGCTAGCACCTTTACAAGGTCATCGACGAGACATAAATCACTGAACGAACCTCCTCCCTTCTCAATAGAAGAGGGTTAGTCGATAAATTATTACAATGCGTTACGAGTCGCGCTTTAAGCTGTAAAATTAGTAGCAGATTTCCACCATTCACGTGCAATAATAATAATAATAATAATAATAATAATAATAATAATAATATTAACGAGCATTAATTTTTTTTTCGTTTCTCCAGTAGGGTTTTGGCGATTGAAATTTCATAATTAGCATTATGTTGTTTTAATACGCATTATCATTCTCAAAACTGGAATATCGAATTGGCCGATGACCGGAACTTGTACCGTCAGATTTAAGAAGATACAAACTAGTTGGTTTTCCATTGAATAAGTAAGGTCCCTTGTCAAGATTATTGACGTAGTCATCGGGCCTCTTGCCAAGTTTCAGATTCGTGTGCCATTGATAGATAGTCGTTGGCTTGCCGTTATTCACAAAACCGGGTTTGAGATTGTCGAGATTGGTGATTGGACTGTCGGTTGTTAGTTTGACGTTGGTCAGAGGTTTCTTCTTTTGCCAATGATAGACGGAAGTTGGTTTACCGTTGCTCACAAAGTCTATCGGCAACTTGATAAAAGGATTCGGTCTCTGATAAGTTTGAACTTGCGGTCTCGATGGTTTCGACTGGGGGATATGCGGTCTCAGATTGGCAGTAGAGTAAGTTGGTGGTTGAGAAATGTATCCTAAACCTGGTACAAACATATAGGGAGTCGGTGGTAGTCTAATGTAAAAGATATTGCTCTCCTGATACTTTTCATCCGTATTACTTGATGTCCTTTCTTCCACATTGGGATCGTAAATATAGTTATAACCGATGTCGTTATTAGGCGAGTTAGGATAAGTTTGTCGTAATCTTGATATCAATGGATAATCCATAAAAATGGCTTTGTGCTTTCTATTTTTTTTCGTAACTTTATCCTTAACTTTTTCCTCGTTTTCTTCTTCCGTTTTTCCTTCGTTTCTTTGATACTTATTTAAAAATGATGAAAGAGTACTACTGCTATCCTTCGTAATATCCTGTTCAAAATATTTCTTTGGTTTACTTTCATCCCCTTCGTTATCGTCGTTATTGTTATTATTATCGGTCGTCAAGGTTTCCGAGGTAAGAGGAAATGATCCTTCGTTTCGTTTAGACAATCGATTATCAGGTGACTGTTGAAATGGACCCGCCGTTACTCCGACCAATATGGGAACCAGAAAAACTAGCGATGTCATCATTGTATCTGAAAAAAGTCAATGAACGTTAATACGAAACTTGAATTATGGACGGAAGCTGATTGAATCCTCATATGCTATTTATTATAAAACAAATCAATTTATGAACTGAATAAAGCTAATCGATCATTCGTTGAATTAGATAATAAGATTTTGATTACTCCCGATTGAACGAACTTTATTGAATCATTTCATTACATATTTATAATATATGTATATATTTTTTTTCAAAATTAAAGATAAATCTTTTTTTGTTCAGTTACACAAAGTATATTTTTAGAACGAGACAGGAGATATCATCGAAGCTTTTAAAGATTCATTGACCTCCGAGACTTGTAGTTAATGTTAGACCACTTTCTCTCTATCTCTTTCTCTTTTTCATTCGTTCATCGAGTGTACTCAACGTGTTCAAGGTAGAATAAATCACGTCTGTTAGTCAGTTCTTGTGGGTAGGAAAGAAGAAGAAGAAGATAGAAAGAATCGGCGACAAAGTCTAACGTGTGGCACTTAGAGAGCCCTTCGCGCAAGTAAGTACCTTTTGCACGCTCGTATTTTCTTTTTTTTTCGTTCAGCATCCAACATCTTGGTACGAAAAAGAAAGAAAGAAAAAAAGGCAGAAAGAAAGAAATAAAGAAAAGAAGGGAAAGAGAGGAAAACAAGAGCAATGAGAACGGTAATTGAAAGCGAGTTATAAAATCGTCGAGTCACGCATTCCGTGTGACGAGTCTTACCCCATTTCTGAGAAATGAAAGAGGACCTTGCCGAAGGTCAAACAAAACTTACTTAAGAAGAAAAATTTCGATAAAAGATATTTCCTTTTGAAACTCGTGTATTTTTTTGCATAAATAATATTCGTATTATATCTTAAGTATGACATTTCTCAAGTAAAACTAATTAAGTATTATTAAAATGATAGGATTGAATTATGTGACAATGATGCTTATTCATTTAAAATTCTTCTAGTCATCGACTTGCAGTCGTTTACGGTAAACCATTAGTTTGCATTTTCATTGATCAATGTTAAGAAAATTGTTCGATGATACCTCATGGCAAAGCTTTCTATGAAACGTTTATCGAAAGTACAAATAAGGTAGCTCATTTCTAGATAATAAACGATCGACAACTACCGATTTTGTCATTTGCATAGAAATGTATATGATACTTCGATGTTTTTTATTATTCTGTTAAACGAATCGCTTTTTAAATTAGATTGTAACTCATTAGAATTCATCGTTATACTTTCAAAACTTTCGTTTAGCTGATAATTATGTGTTTAATATATAAATGAAATAACGTTAATATATATATAGTCCTGTTTAAATATTTTTTTCCTCAATTGTTTTTTTTTTATTTGTTCAGATAGTTAGATTTCTTGTAGGTAAACGATTCTGATATTTAATTAATTATACCTTCTCCAAATTTTGGTTCATTTTATAATTTTTTCATATAATATATCATTTTATATATTATTTTTTGATATTTCTGTAGTGTTTAAATTATAAAAATCCATGAGTTCACACACATCATACATACATATACATACGCACACACACACAAGGTAAATTAATAGAACTACTATTGCCATCTATTAGCTACTTTCATATTCAAGAAGAAAAATGTCGTAAAAAAGTATTATTACTCAATAAATATAATTAATACATTATTACAGCGTACATTACTTAATAATTTTATTCTTACATTTAAAAAATTAATATTTTTTTCGAAGATAAATACAGTGATCTACATTATCCACTTTTTCCTAAAAACAAAGAAATCTATATTACCAACAAAAGATTTTGTGTCATGCTAGATTCAACAAATCTGCTTCTAAGTTCTTGTATCTGACTATCTTGTTTCTGTTCTTGTATCACTTGCTAAGTTAATATCATGTAATTAGTATCACAACTATTTTTCGATAGAACTAATACATGTTAGTTTTTTTTATAAAAAATTTCATTGAAATTGCGTATTAAAAAATTTTATATGATATCACTAAAAATGTTAAATCGTTTCAATGGATTACAAGACAACAAATTAAGTTTCTTTTGTATAAAGATAGTAAGTTACTACTGTAGTTAACACGTTGCCGCACACTTTTAATTTGACGATCGTGCTTAGAAATACGAAGATCGGACGGCTATAGCCGTCATTTGCGGCAATGGGTTAATGAGCTTATTGTTAATGGTAATTGATAAAAACGTACCAGTTTCTATGAGATATATCTAATAATAAGAAACTTGCTCAATCTGCTTTAAATCGCAGGAAATCGTATGACTCGAGTGTTTTTCAAATTATTGTTCGTTAGATATTAGACACGTTATTGACGAGTCATCAAGGACAGGAAATTTATCGGCACGCTCGTCATAGGAACGTCCGAGATTAACAGTCTTCTTTTTTTGATACACCTTGATCAAGGGAAAAAGAAACGCGAACATCACCAAGTCGGCGTCCATCAAAGGTCCAATGGTCAAGTGTTGTCGACAAAGAGGTGATTCTTCATCTCATTCGATGTGCTGAAACCACGCGACGTAGATGTATACGCGTTCTTTGATTTCCGATAATGATAAGTCAAATTACGAAATTTACCTGCCTTCTCTCTTCGTTCTTTATTTTTTTTTTTGCATTCTTTCGATCTATCTCAACCTGTGCTTTTTTTTCTATACTACATTTTAAACAATCATCGTATCAATTCGAAAATAATTCGTTTTCATCATACGATCTTTTTCATTGTTATCTTTTTATTGTTTTTTGTTTCTTTTAAATATTTTTTATTATTTATATATGTACATATATATAAAATTATATTTGTACACATTTAACTCTTTTATAATACGGTGAAAAAATTATGACAAATTATAACAAAGTTTTTACCTAACACTTGGACAACCTTCGTATCGCACGAATTTCATTTCCTTTTATTTATACTATTTTTAGATTTGGCAACGAATCAACAGAGTTATAAAAGGGTTGACTGTAATTTCTTATCAAACTCCGTTAATCCATAGAAAGGAAGTAATTGCATTGGCGCGTGCACCTGTATTATCGTTAAATCGGAGATATGAAACAACGTAAGTTTATTCATTCGAGTTAAACTCGAAAGAAATTTAAATTCAGTTGAATTAATAAACTGTAATTCGATGATTTTGCAATTAATCCTATTATCAGCACGAGTAACGGCGATTCCGTTTTCTATTAACCTGTTTTCGTATATTAATGAAAAAAAAATCCTCCAAAGAAGATCCTTTGCAATAACGGTTAAATTATGACAACGTATATTAATATTTCTCATTCAATTATTATTACTAACAAGAAGTTTGGCATACATAAATATTATTGGTAATAAAACTAATTGTTCCTTCCTTCTTCGTCCAATTATATCTTGTCATTACAACAATAACACTTTCTACATCATTGGCAATTAAACGTATTGCTTGCAATCAATTGATCGATCAATCATTCGTTTTCGATTTATGCATCAGATTTTCTTTCAAGTTGCTTCCAATGTTAAACGACAAGCTACCTTTTAACGATCTCTTCTCGTTTCGTTGGGTCGCGTTGTGAACAATCTGTCATTTCTCGTAAGATTAATGATATCCTCGTACGGTTCGCTACATTTGAACGAACTTTCTACGGATATTTCTTCCTCTAATTTCCATTTCCTTGTATACTTACTCTTTTCAATGGTTTCAAAGAAATACTGAACGTAAAATACAAGAAAATCAAATACTTTTATCTTTGATATACAAGGAATCACAGGACTATTCGAATTTTGTCAATTTAAGACAATCAGTATTTTCTTGTAATACAATATTTCCAAATTCTTATACACGGAAACATATTTTAGGATTATTAAAGCGTTATATTAATATGCATTTTATTGTAAAAGATTTTTTTTTGGGGGGGAATAGTAAAACTTTGCCCAATCGTTTGAAAAGAATTATAAGAGTTAAGAGAAAATCAACCAAATACTATTTACAAAAATAATCTTGATATTTTTATTATATCTTAAATAAATGCAAATCACAATTTTTTATCATTCAAGTCAAATTATGTCTCTTTAACAATAAAAACTTCTTCTGTGATAAAATTTATATAAAATTGAAATTTTAATAATCCTAAAATATATGTTATTGTTATATTATATAACAAATGAGTCAATTATTGAAAATTTATAGTTATGTATTACCAATTGATTTTACTTCCTCTTCTTTTTAAATTTGATTTTTAAAAAGTTAAGGGATGTAAGTATACATATTAGGAATAGAAAAAAAAAAACAAAATATTTGAATATTTTTTTTAACACCATATAACTTTATTCCAACCAGATAATGCATTTTCAATGAATATTTATTAGGAATATTTATTCGGAATTATTTATCGATTAATCTTCGGACGTATTTTATCATATATATGTTACGTTAATTTTTTTTAATTTTTTCGTTGAATTTTTGAACATTTTAGTTGTTTGTTCGTATTTGAAAATAAAAAAAAATAAAAACAACAATTTTTCAACTTCAAAAAGTGTCAGAATATCTTTTACGGCTCTCTGTAAGTAGGTAGAATGTGGGATACTTATGTGCGTTGGACCGGTGAAAAGCTTACAGAAGCAAAGAATACACGACGTTGAGTCTTTCACTCGTGTACGTGACTCGAGGCTCATTACGCGAAACGAAATGAAACAAACATGGAAATCTCGCTTATCTCGAATGCGCACGCCGTATGTCGGAAAGGAAAGGATTCGACATTTCTGTTTTTGATTTGGAAGATCATTCAACATAGGATACTGAACGTACAAACGATACTTCTCAAAATATGGCGTTTCCAAATATTTTATATATAATTAATTTCCACTTCACAAAAATGTTCTTTACAAATTTGAAAGCTTTTTACGTCAATTATGAATTAACTGACTCTTATTTATCATGTCTAGTAGCTTCAGATATTACAGAACCCCATTTTTCTCTTTACTCACTCGAGCCTTCTTAACCATCCAATTTTACGGTTCTGA